GATTTTTTTAAGGAAAAAATATAAAACAAGAGAAAGGATTGGTGAAATTTTGAGACATAAAAATTGTTAAAAAGAGGGAAGCTTGAAAATTGAAACCCTTTTTTTTTTTTTAATTTAGAGTGGGTCATGCTTTTGGTCACAATCATAGGAGCAAAAGTCTCGTTGCAAGTTTGGCGTATTAACACCCTTGGGAGCCTTCTTGTTGATCCTTTTTAACGATTATAGCGTTTGGATTTGATTTCCCTTCTCGCACCATATGTCTCCAACGCGAACAAGCCACGCCACCTCACCCAATAGCGTGGCTCTTTAATATCTTTTTCTAAAGCAGAATGATAAATAAAAATCTTATAAAAATATTAACCTTAAATTAAAATTTTTTTCACAATTGAACTTCTCAACTTTTGTGCTTCTCTCTCTGTTTTTTTTATTTCAGTTTTAAAATTTTTAAAAATATTTATTTGGAATTAATTTTTTTTATGAGGTACTTGTTTGTCATTTCCTTCCCTTTCTAATCTATTATTACTTGTTTTATGAATGCTCCCTCACTTCCTTGATATAAAATGTTTTTAAGAGATTTCCTTGGTTCATAAATTCATAAAAATCTCCTACCTCTATTAATAAATAGTCATTAAAATATATAATTAGATAATTAAAATATAAAATATGATCATAATTTAATTTAAATATATTTTAAATATAAATTATTGAAATTAAATTCATCTATATGAATAAATTATCATACTCAATGTAAAAATTTTAAAATAAGACAACTTATTTTTAGTATTATTTCTTGTTTTATATTAATATTACCTTTTGATTTGAGTTTTATTTTCTTTTGAAATAGGTCCTACTGCTTTTATGATTGAGTTTTGCATAATATATATTTAACTCACTTAATTTGGTACTAAATTAACAAGTCTAATAAGTTTAATTAAATTTACATTTAGTTTGAATTTATAAGTTAATTGATATTATTCCGTTAGAAACATAAAAAATTTAAACTTAAAAAGTAAATTAATGAGTTAACGAGTTTGCATTTAGTCTAAATTTATAATGAGTTGACACAATTTTATAAGTTAGAAATGTAAAAATGACAAATTTAAAAAATTAACTTGAGAGTTTGATAACAATGATCCAAGTACTCCATGAACAATACAAATTTAATAGTAAATTTGAATTATCTATATTAAATTTAGACTGCTCAAATTGGTAATTAGATTTAATTTTTTTTAAATTTTTATAAATTAAATATTTAAATATATTCTGGATATTACAGATTTAATATTAAAATTATAAACTTTTTTAATATTAAGTCTAAACTATCTATATTAAATCTACATTATTCAAATTGCTTATCAAATTTAATAAAAATGTTATAATTTTATTTACCAAAAAAGTTATAATTTTTATTTTAATAAACATAAAATAAAATTAAAAATATTTAATCTTTAAATTTTTTATTTATTTTTATTTATTTTAACAAAAAACAGCACAATTTAAAAAAAAATGGAGAAGAAATAGAGAGAATTAGAGAAAAGAAGTGGACCCGCTCCTTGCCCAAAATGAGATCGAAAGTTATAGGCATTCACGCCTTTCCGCTCTTCTTTTGCCGCCTCACGCGGACCCCACCACCCTCCATTGTCCATTTCATATTCGCCACTCTCACCTGCCTCCCCTCCCCCACTCATCACTTCCATCGCTATCCACGCCGAACATACACCTATACTATTACTACCTAAATAATACTCCCTCTGCTTTTATTTTATTTTATTGTAATAAAAAATTAATGATTTAACATGAAATGCCAATTTTTCATTTCTCCGCTCTATAACTAACAATTATGTTGCGTCCATTACCTCCCTAACTAATTAAAAAAAAATACAAAATAGGAATCAATGAATCAATTTATTTCTTTTTCGGACCAAACAATGAATTAATTTATTATTAATGATTAGATAACAACTTAGGCCAACTATCACCGCGTCCGCCTAAACCCAAGCACGTCATAATAAACACACAACCGTGTCGTACAGTGTGACCCAGCTTGGCTGGCGCTGACTCTATCCTACCCCGCGCTCACTTTCTTTTACCGTTCCCAACGCCATTCCTCACCCGCCTTGTTTTCTCTCCCCACTCATATATGAGCAAACCAACCCGATTCGCATCTTCATTTTCTCTCTCCGAAGTGTGAAGCTTTCAACATTCTTGTTTCTTCCTTCTTTTGTATTACAGATAAGTTCCAACAAGTTCAGGTCCGGCATGGACTTCTTTCACAACGCCAAGGCGGTGCGCCTCCGCAGCCACCATGATAAGTACCTCCTCGCCGACGAGGATGAGGAATCCGTCGCCCAGGACCGAAACGGATCTTCCAAGGCCGGCCGATGGATCGTCGAGTACGTCCCCGGCTATGACAACATCATTCGTCTCAAGAGCATCTACGGCAAGTACCTCACCGCTTCCAACCAGCCATTCCTGCTCGGCATGACGGGTCGCAAGGTGCTTCAGACTCTGCCGCGCAGGCTCGATTCCTCCGTCGAGTGGGAACCCGTGAGAGACGGATCTCAGCTCAAGCTCAAGACCCGATACGGGAACTATCTCAGGGCCAATGGCGGCTTGCCGCCTTGGAGGAACTCTGTGACTCATGATATCCCCATAGGACTTCCACACAGGATTGGATCTTGTGGGATGTGGACGTCGTCGAGATTCATGTTCAGAAACCCGCGCCTCCGCCCGTGCCTCATTCGGATTCCCTGGACTTCGAATCCAACACCCCGTCCGCTCAATCCATCAAAGCTGCGACCTTTTCAAGGCAGGAGGTATGACTCGTGAGATTCGTCGGGACTTTTTTTTTTTTTTTTTATGTGGGTAGGCTGTCTAGACTGAAGGTTCGATCTGAATTGTGAATTTTGTGTGTTTTGCAGTCCACTGATTCTAATGTGGGTTCGCCGCCGAAGATGGAGGGACGAACTATATACTACCACGTGGCAGAGGATAATGGCGACGTGGATGATGAAGGCGTGCAGGGCTATTCTTTGATCTTTAAAGGCAGCGGTGTAGAGGAATTGACTCGCAAGTTTGTGGAAGAGACAGGGCTGGAAGGAATCATTGTGTGCACTCGCAGTCCTCTGAATGGAAAGCTTTACCCTCTTCGCTTGCAGCTTCCTCCCAACAATGTTACGATGCAGGTGGTTCTGGTTCTTCCATCCTCTAAAGGTAAGCTTTTTCTTTTGAATTTTGTCTAATATCATTGAATTCTGCAGAATTTGGCTACTAGTAGTAGGATCTGACATGATACGCTTCTCACATTTTTGTTCTGTTCTAAGAACAGGCTTAAGTTCTTTAATTTTGATTCTCCGATCGAAGTTTATAGATTCGGCAACTATCATATTTGGGTTGTAAAAGATGTTGCATCTCTGGCTTTTACTAAACATGCTAGGCAAAAAAAAAAAAAAGGTCTTCTTTTGATATTGTAACGTTTGAAACATGTAAATACATAAGTTGTTTCCTTTCTTCTTGTTCTGGTGGGATTTATATATCATGCATGCTTTATTATTTGTTGCCCTAACACTCTGCATTAATCCTCTTTGTTGTTGTGATGTTTCAGTGGCAAGAGATTTTGAGGAACAGGGTTTACTGTGAGATGCCTAGCTGGAGAGTGTTGCCGTTTTGGATCTTTTCATAAGCAAGGCCTATGTACATATTCAGATTTTATGTGGAAGCACTTGGGAATGTGTTGGGGAGTTCTGCATATTCTCCTTGCATTTATAAACCGAACGCATAGCCATAAAGGTTTCGCCTTCTAATCAAGGAGGCATTTCTAAAGCCGCCATTGTGAAGGGTATGAATTATGGTATCTCGTAACAGCATTATCGGATCATTAATGGCTGTCCTAGGGGTAGGGTGGTTTTGTAATTTTTTTTATGTGCTTTATGCTTGATTCAATTTTTTTTTTTGGGTCAAAATGCTTGATTCAATTTATTTGTTAGCCAGTGCCAGATGTTATCGTTGGATATATGTAAAATTAAACTTGTATCGGAATTATAATTTACTTTTTCCGTAGCGGTGTATTTTCGGCTCACATTATTCTTTGGGAAAAAAGCTTTGCATAGTACAAATATAATAGAGATGTGTGTTAAAAATATTCATAAAACACATAAGAATACTTTAAAAAATTTTTAAACATGAGTATATCTCTAACCATACACTTTAAAAAATATTACAACACATATTTGATATTTTTGACCACTTATGGCGATTAAACATGAATATATCTCTAACCATGCACTTTAAAGTATCGGCTACAAAGGTTGACCTTGATTTTTAAATATCAAATATATATTGAATTTTTTGTAATTAAAAAACTATATTTTGATACTTGTCAAGTGCGTATCATATCAGAGCTTTTGCAAAACATAAGAAAGCATGTCTTAACGCTGTTGATTCTTTTGGGGGATCTTTTTCATAAATCATAGCAATGGCCGATGGGGCATACCATGCTTACCATGTCCGGGAAAAACCTTCTCATCATTCCCTTCTTTTCCTGTGGACCGAATTGGATAGTACCGAAAGGGCCTTTCAGCATTATAATCTTGGGAAAACTAATTTTTTATTTTTATAGTTTCAGTATCTATAGTTTTTTTAAATTTTATTTTTAATCTGTATAATTTTTTTAATGTTTTTAATCTTTATAGAAGCTAAAAATACTGAAAAATTAAAATTATAGGGATATAAAAAATAAATGTCACCCAATATTTTTGAAATTATAAATATTAAAAATACTGAAAAAAATTATAAAAATTAAAAATAAAATTTGATGAAACTAGAAAGACGAATGAGTATTTTTTGCTGTACTCCTAAGGTAAAACGTGCTTTGATAGCATCTGTTGTTCTTTTTGCTCCGTGGGGACTGGGGAGCCACACGGATTCAATCGTTTGGTTTTATTTCTAAAGGTAGTAAGCCCCTAGAAATGACAAACTACGACGCCCGAGAGGGAAGCGAATTCGAGAAAATATATTGTTCTGACTATTTTGCCCTTTACGGGGCTGAATTTTGAAAATGACTAAAACAGGTTGAGAAGAGGGAGTATATCCAGCAACACGCCAAGCAAGTCTGCATTGTGCCTTGCCGTTAGCGAATTCAATATTTGTCAATAATTATTTAGATTACAGTTTCCCAGAATTTTTAGCTATTTACGCATCTGCTAGTAAGTACTTCAAACCAGAATAGAAGCATCATTCACCAGTAATCTTTACAAGAACAGGTTCCATCTTTGAAGTGATGGAACCGAATACGATCTCTTATAATGATCTCCACATTGTAAATTCTGGAGATCAATTTGATCACCTTGTGGCAATCATTGCAGACTCTAAGATTCTTAAATATTCTTATGGGCACGCCTGGTTTTGAGTTCAATAGCCCGAAAGCTATGGCCAGTCTCTCGCTGTGCAGCCTCAACGTACTCTGTCTTCCATCATCAATCTCATCAACCATTGGTGCTCCAGAGTAATCAGGTGCATACCCAATTGATTCTAACTTCTCATCAATCACATTCAGAAACTTGTATATATGTTCACTTTGGGGATGAGTGGTGTCGCCTGCAAAAAATTCGTGAGTTACACCATCTATTTCCACCAAACTACATCCAGGCTCTTTAGTCACACCTTTATCAGTCATTAGTTGTCTAAGTGACCCTACGTTGTCCCATCTTCTAGCTGAGGCATATACTTTGGAAAGAAGTACATAAACTCCACTGCAATCACTCCCTTCTGACTCAAAGATCTGCTGAGCCATTTCTTCACTCAGCTCAACGCTTGCTTGTTGTTTGCAGCATGCATCCAAGAGACTTCTCCATATTACAGCATCAGGTTTCATCGGCATTTCTGAAACCAAGTTCAAAGCTTCTTCTATGCGCCCAGCTCGAGCAAGAAGATCAACAAGACATCCATAGTGCTCTAATCGTGGTTCTATATTATATTCTTTGATCATCATGTCAAAATACTCAAGCCCTTCGTTAACTTTACCCCTGTGATTACAAGCACTCAATACACTGACAAAAGTGATAGAGTTGGGTACAAATCTCTGTGTCTTCACCATACGGGTAAAGCAATCCAATGCTGCCTCAGCCTTGCCATGCATGGCAAGACCTAAAATCATCGAATTCCATGAATTTACATCTTTATCAGGCATGCTTTCAAAGACTTGTTCAGCTATTTCAAGGGACCCACATTTACAGTACATGTCCACCAAGCAGGTGTTAATCAAAACATCATCAGCCATATCCATCTCAGACTTCTTCAATATATAGGCATGAGCCCACAAACCTAGAGACAAAGCACCTAAACCAGCGCAAGCACTAATAACACTCTGCATTGTATAGTTATCAGGTTCATATGCGTTTTGCATCTGAATGAACAGCTTCAGGGCAGTGTCAAATTCACTAACCCTTACATAGGAATCAATCAATACATTCCAGGAAACCTTACTTCTCTCAAACATTTTATCAAACACTATCTGCGCTAAGTCTAGGTACCCACAAGTCGCATAGAAGTGAATCAAACTATTACAGACATGAATATCAGACTCAAGCCCAAGTTTCAAAATGTGCCCATGCATCTGTTTCCCTTCAAAAAAATAAAACATATACGCACAGGCCTTGAGAACGAATGGGTATGTATGTTTATCAGGAACGACAAGCTCGTTTTCCATCATCGCTCTGTACAGCTCTATAGCGCGATCTTTGAAGTGGGTGCTTCGGGCGTAGGCTCTTATGAGGGTGTTCCACATGAAGGAATTGGGGTTCTGGAAGTGGTTGAAAAACCGAGTGGCGTAGTGAAGATCGGCAAGAGACGAGAAGTGGAGAATTCTGCTGTACAGGAAGAGGTACTGTGGGTGGTCGCGAGGGATGGAACGCAGCGTTTGAGAGTGAATTTGCTTGAGTTGAGCCATGCCGATTGCAGAAGGTTCCTTTAACAATTGAAGAAGACGAGAAAGTGTGTTATGCCTATGCGATTCCCCACCATGTTTGACGTTGCTTGGGTAGATAGCGGTTCCTGTTGAGATTGTCATAGCCATTATCAGAACCCAGAAAAATATCTTTTCCCAGTCAAATAACAAAATGTGCCCACACACATATTTATCCAAGACAAATTATTTTTATATTAATATTTCCTGTTTAATAAAGCATATATCAAATTAATATTGAAAAAACTTTTTTTCTGGCCAGAATATATTGAAAAAACTTACTCCCCTACTTTTTATAAGAGATAAATAATCGAAATAACTAGATCAAAAAAATTAAAATTTGTTAAACATCTTAGAAATTTTAAATTCTTTCCAGACATGACTGTATAATTAATAGGGGCATAATGTGAATTAAGCAATAAATGCATCAGATAACGGTTTAAGTATTAGTGTACCTTATCCTCCCATTTGTATTTTATAAAAAGTAAATTAAACTTTTTTTTTGGGGTTAAAAAAGTAAATTAAACTTTTATTCATGGATCTGAGAGACAGATTTGACTTTTGAGAACGACGATTGCTTGATAAACCTTTTGGTCCCCAAATTTAGGCTCCTGATTGCCTGTTTATTACAGTTTCTGTGGACTTTTTCATCGGTGCTTGTTCAATAAAATTTCATCGAATTGTCCTCAGTGCTTGTTCAATAAAATTTCACATGATGATTTTTTTTTTTGTCAGAAATAGGATTTTCCTTGTAAAACATTCATATAAACAAAATATTCTTCCCATCCCTAAATATAAGACGCAATTGCCAAAATCACAGAGACCAAGGATGTGACGTGCTTGTGTCTAAATATTTTTTCCATTTTTCAAATCTATCCTTAATTAAATGTTTTTATTTTTTATGATGGTAAAATCATTTATTAGGTTGTTGAAAAAATCATTAAATATAAATATAAGCGAAAAAAATTAATACATCCTAGAATTTTGAAAAAAGGTGTTATGAAAAGGACAATTGTTAAAAAAATGCAGGGAGGAGGTACGAATGATTTCACATAATCAGGCAAAGCAAAGAGACGAAAGTATAGAGATGCGAAAGGATTAAAATAATTAATCAACATAAAATATTAAACTTACAGCAAGCATTGTTTGAAATTGGATATGTATGAATGTATCTTCAAATTCTCAAAATTTTTTTCCATACATAATTTGAGGCCATTTTTCAACGTCTAACAAAACGGAGATTCTATCCTACATTAGAAAATATTAATGGAAATTCAAATTGACTTTTGGTCCAAAAATTAAAACTGGAACAAACGGGGACTTGTTAGTGGTGCTACTACGATCTATTTTCTATTAAAAAAACCTAATTTATGTTAATTCAAGTGGTTCCTCTAAATACTACAGGGGCTGAAGAAACTTATGTGAAAGTGAGCCTGCAAGGAAGTTAGAATTTAGTATACATTTGAGCATGAAATTCATGCTAAGAAAAAATCTCAAATTCAAAAGCTCTTTGAAAGAGATCATTTTCTTCATACTTGGACTGACTTGATATTCCATACCCAGATATGGATGAAAGTACAAAAAAAAGGTAAAGAAAGATTCTTGTTATTTTTCAAAATTGAAAAAGTCGGTGTAATGCATTAGCAAAAATTTGAATCATATATAGATGCAGAATCTGGCTTTGGGTTCATTTAAGCGGGCACCCAATACTAATATGTCTCTATGGATGCTTCAGCCCATGAATCAATAGATGCATGATATGGGGAACAGTCTCAATCAGGATTAGAATATTGGAGAGGGAAAAATTAAAATAGATTAATGGGGTTGTATTTAAAATTTAAAATTAAATCAAGGTTAATAAAATAATACTTTAATTTGATGTCATTTAATTTAATTGACTGTGCTTGAGAATAAATGAATAATATAGATACAAACAATTAATACTCCCTACATTTTTATTATATTTATCGCCTAAGGCTGTTGGACATGGATGATTAAGAAATGCAATAAATATGAAAAAAAATGATATATTTTATCAAATTTGCCACTCATTTATTTCAATACTTTAATGCCTCTAAAATTATATGCAGGGGTAGTAGAATATTGTTCTAAAGGTAAAACAGGAAAAATGTCATTAAATGTCATTTTGAAAATTTAAAATAATATGTAATATAAAAAAATTTCTAAAACGCGACAAATGTGAAATAGAGGGCAAATATATCTGACTCTTTATTGCGTGTGAGAATTTGAACCCGACCAGGCTACCTCCCACAGCCCACCTACCAGTTTGACTTAAGAATAATCTAACTTTCCAAAATCACAACCGATCGAACAATAAGATAGAGGAGATAGAGAACATGAAAAATATAAGAAAATGATATATTTTACTCAATTTCTGAGAGAATATATATCTTTCTCCAAAAGCATGCTTGAACAATAATTCTCATTTGTCATGGTAAAAAGAATATATGATTGATATTAATATTAAATCACACGACAATATGTGTTTAGATGGATATGGACTTTCAAAAGGCCAGGAACTTAGGGAAGGGCCTCTCTGTTCTTAATTAAAGAAGGACAATAATACATCTAAGATACAAAGCTGAACGTAAAATAACCGAAGTTCTAAGAGGTTATTATATTGTTCAAAGTGAACATTATGAGTCATTTTTTGGTTTCTGTGGACTTTTAGATGGGTTGGTGATTTGTTGATCCCTTCAAACAGTATCTACAGAGGCTTCACTTACCAGCTATGCACAACTAAACCAGTAGTTGACTCACCAAACTTTCGTTAAAAGGATTACATTAAACAAATAAGCCGACAGCCAATCGATATATGATAGAAGAATCAAAAGGTAAATAAAATAACTAGTTAAACCACACACATTTATAATTCATACTACAATGTGTGTGCTTGTGGCTACATAACTGCAGACAGAAAAAAACCTTTTCAAGAGATCATAAAAGATAAGAAAACACGAAAGATATAAAACATACCTATGCACAGTTGTCTTGGGACTATTGGAGCTTGACGGCTCACCAGGTTCCTTCCCCTGAAGTACCAACTTCTCATTCTCATTCCGCCACAAAGCATCCCGTAGATTTCCCAGTATGCCACCTCTGCATTTTGTTATTTGCATTCATAAAAAAATAATAACATTTAAACTAGACACCAAAATTTTTAGAGATGCATTCTTAATTCTTATGAAGTTGATCTCAAGAAATAAGAAAATCAACTTACCGATTTGACAGGCATTTATTGGGGAAGAAATCTTCAGTTGTACGGTCATTTGAGTCGCCTGGATTAGGCTCGTCGGAATGATTCTGAGATCCAAGGCTCGCATCTCGCGGGTCGGTTTCAATCTTTCGGATCTCTCCCACGATACAGTGGCTCGTAGAATCCAGTTTCCTCATTATCTCAAACGCTATTTCCTCAACAAGCTCAGCTTCGCTTCTATAGAAAGAAGAGCCAGGAGATGGAGACAGTTTGAGCTCTTTGGAATTCGATCGAGGATCTCTATTCATCTGATCATCTCTTAAAATTCATACCTAGTTAATTATATATGCTATTTCAAATTTTAAAACAACTGGTCGTTAGAATTTAGAGACGACCCGACCGTAGAGATCTCCATAGACAAACTCTACAAAGAACATTATCAATTAACACAACTATGATCTTCACAAATTAAACCATGCATTCTGATCTCTATAGGATGTATTTCAATCGAAAGATCGATGAGAAAAATAGAAAGTAATCGATGGAGTTATGGTTACCTAGAACCTGAGCATTCCCAACCAGAGAGATTGGCGGCTTCTGTCATGGCTATCGTCCACTTTTGAACTGTTTGGTTGTCGGCCTTGCGCTCCTTCTTATGTCGTTTCAAATCAGTTCCGTAACTCCCTCTCTGGTGTCGCACATCTGACGGAGAGACTCCATAGAAAATAGGGATCACATGTTGTCCCCTTTTTTTCTTGCATTCCATTATCTTGGCTAGTTCGTCCAGAGTCCAACTTGAATTTGCGTACTTTTTGGAGAAAACTATGAGCAGGATCTTGGATTGCTTGATTGCTACTAAAAGAGTGGGCGAAATTTCATTCCCTCTCTCGAGATCGCAATCATCCATGTAGGTTTTGATACCGCGCCTTCTAAAAGCGGCTCGGAGATGGCTTACAAAACCGTTGCGGGTGTCTTCACCTCTAAAACTGATAAAAACATCGTGAGTGGTGCTGGGGCTAGGGTTGGCGGAGGAAGTCTGAGAAGATGAAGAGGAAGCAGATGATGAAGCTATTGATGATGACCATGGAGATTTCATGCGATTGTCTTCTGCAGATCGGAAGGTTTTAATGGGCACACCATGATTATTTTCTCTGGTACTTGGGCTGGGATTAAGGGAGGAAGACTTGGAAGATGAGAATGAAGAAGATGCTTCTGCTGCTGCTGCTAGAGATGGTGATGGGTTCATGAGAATGTCCTCTCTGAAAATAATGAACTCTTCATGAGGGAATTCGTTGGCACAAGGACTAGGGATGGCGGAGAAATACTGGGAATCGAATGAAGACGAAGACGACGGTGAGGCTGATGATGCTGATGATTTCATGTGGGTGACTCTTGCTAATTAACGAGTAGTTCAGTTCATTTTCAAGAATGTTTCTTTCTTGGGAGCGTTTTGATGCTACAATTCACTAAAAGCAAAATCCTTACAGGCGCCTTAATGAGTTGCTGGTAGGTTTAATTTCTCGGCTGCTTCCTGGAAAAATACAGGTAAATTACACGGTGGGGAAAGATTCAAGGATATTCCTGTTTGAAGAAGAACCATTAACAGTGGAAGACGATGTGGGCCCACGCTTGATGTCTAAACCGGTCCGTCTTCGGTGAGTTGCACCTCATGAACAAAACAAAACCAAAAACACTGGCGCATTCAGATTAAGATTTTTTAATTTAAATTTAAATTTATTAAATTTTTTTTAACTTTTTTAATAAATATATTCATCATCAAAGACAGTACAGATTTAACGTAAATAAATCATTTTAATATTAATTTTTTTATAATTTTCATTTTGATGAATAAAATATTAAGAATAAAGATAATTTTCTGAGGATACTTTTAAAAATTATTTTTAAAAAGATTAGAAGTTAAAAAATTTTAAATTTGAATGATCAATTTATAAAATTATCAAAGTTTTTAATATTAAATTAAATCTATCCAAATTGATGAGAAATAAATTTATATAAATTTCTCAATAGATATAAAATAAAAATAAAAAATATATAAACTTTAAATTTGGACTGTTTGGATAAAAATCTAAACAGTTCAGATCTCATCGCACATAAGTTGAACGCATATACTAAATATAGTAGCCACCAGAATATGTGAATATCATGTAAGTCATGTTTATATAACGAATAATAAGTTTACAAAAGTGATCAATCAGACGCAATAATTTATTCTTTGTAAAAAAAATGCTCATTCATATACATCATAGTTTTAGAATTGATGAATCATAACTAGAAAAAAGTTGTTTGATACATATATCTCTAATTCTTTTTCAAAAAAAAATGAATGTCGTCAGATTTGTGGTGTTTGATTTCAAATGTGTTCTCTTTACTAGAAAAAGAACCAATTTTATTAATCATAAAAAAAATTACACGCATTAATAGTCTAAACCAAAAAACACTCAAAAAAACTTACACACAAATTAATACACAAAACTCGCAAAAAAAAAAAAAAAAGAGCAACAACAAAACATAACAAAGGAAAGGAAAAACAGATTAATCAATGCCTTCCGTGTCCCAACGATCAAAGTCATTAACAGAAATACATAATGAATTGTTACCTATTGAGTTGATGTATTTTCAATATTTGTCCTAAAAAAGATGAACAGTAGCATTTTCTCCACAACAACACCCTCACCGATATTTGCCTTATAGGAATTGGTATAAAATAAATCCTTTCGATTTAATTACTATTCATCATTTAATTTTTCGGCAATGAATTATTCATTAAATTTAATTTTTCCCTCAAAAGCTAATCAATATTATTTTTCTCAAATGATCCACCAATATTATATAATATATTCTTGATCTTTCACACATCACTACTACACCATCACGTTATCAGACTCTGATCTTTTTCTTAATCCAGATTTAATTTCTAGCGTGTGTGTAACAATAATAACTTTTTCTTTTGAATAATTTGGATATCATTTAGTATTTTCTCTGCCTATTTTTATAAGCTGGACATTAAGAGATTACTGTAGCCAAATATTCTATGATAATTTTTGCACTCGTGCGTTTTTGGGCAACCGTATACGGTTTTTGGTTCAAGAGTTTAGGCTTTTGAATGGATGAAAATTCCAGAATTTTTCTTTTTTCTTTTTGACAGAAACGTTGCTGCTTTTTTCAAAGAACAAAAAATTAGAGCACTCAGATATTCAGGATGATCAATTAATTAAATATTTTAGCCAAAAAAAATTCAAATCGAAAGTTTTCGAATATTTCTAAAATAGGAGAGAAATTCTCCAATTACTGCGAATTCTTGGGAGACGTTTCTATTCATTTTAATTTTGATTAGCTGCTGTGACTATTCTCAATCATTGACGAAGAATTTGGAAGGTTGACAAAGTCAAACAGACTGAGACATGATCTTCAGGATTGCAAACTTGGAATCAAAGAATTGAATCGCTCCTCCCTAGATTACTTATCGATATTTACTGAGTTTTTTTTTTTAAAAAAAAAAAACTGTTTACAGCAAGGGCGCAATTTTTTTTTAATTTAGCTTTTATTTTATTTTTTTGGCTTCCCTTGAGCAACAAGCCAAGAGCCCAGGTACACTGTTAAAAAAGTGCTGCACTAGGACATCAATGTACGTCACTGTATATGTGCTGTCATCATACATCATAATTATATAAATAATCAACTGCGCTATGATTAAGAAATTATTATTATTTGTTTGTTTGGTTCGGTTCACGTCATTATAGGTTTCATGATGATCTTTATAGTCGAGACTTGAGACACATTAAAATCATTGGCCAGTATTTTGGTGTTTCTTAGGAACGAAACAAAATTCCTTGGTTGCTCCTCTCTTTATGGCCTCTATTATATATTTCTTTAATATTTTCTTTGATATGTTATTAAAACAATTTTAAAACATAATTGTAAGTGGAGCATTCTCTATTGGTCAGCAATTTCTTTCGTTTTTGTAATAACATTTTGAATTCTTATATTCGTTAAAACTTATGGATATATTTATAACACGTGCAGCGCCTAGCTTAAAAATATGAAATTGATTAAAATGGCAGAACTATCAATTTGATAGGGATAACGAATGCATTAGAATAATGAGATTTTAGTATAAATTAGATATATAATTAATACTTAATTATCGTAATTAAACTTGATAACACTGAATATTTGATTTTATGTGGTTTGACTAATGGTCGTCACTAGTTGCATGTGCGGTCCGAAAAGCACCATGTCCAACCTATTCCCCCAACATTATTGTCCATGTAAACTTCTAAGAAGTAGCCGCTAATATCAATTAAGTAAAATATTGGCTGATTAACTAACTGGAAGTGATTAATTGGTTAATTGCTTGTGAATAATGATTGGTTTAAAAGCCTTCTCTCCATCGACTGTAGCCAGCAAACAGTCATAAGGAGTAGCTTAGCAACTGCGCGTGTTTGTGTTTTTTTTCTTAAAAGAAGGCAATAAATGGCATCTTCTGAAACAACGGACAAAACGAACGCCACGATCCTATTATGTTCATCATCTCCAGTTACTTATGACTGTAAATGATCTGAACCCATTATATTTTTAGTTTTGGGAGAATTACATACAGGTTCATATAAAAAAATTAATTACTATAAATTTCTTATTAATATAATTCTCCTTTTAATTTTTCTTAAGGTACTGTGGGCAAAGATTATGCATCTCCCAACTTGTTACACATACAAGAACCGAGTAGATCCGAACCTCTCACCAGACTTCATTAGTCCCATGCATTAAAAGAAATAAAGAAAGAGGGGAGAATTTTAACAAAAGACCCTTAACACAATCTGTTTACACTTAAAGTCTTTAAATTTTTAAAATTTTACTACAATTCAAAGGTACTAATTTGATATTAAATTTTTTAAAAGAGGACAAAATTGTCCCTCTTTTAAATTAATATTAGAACCTTCTTATTTCATATGTAATTGCCTCATTTCACTTATTCATTTACTTACGAAATGTTGTTAATTACTTATTTAATTTGTTTTCATTTTAAGTGTTCAAATCATTTTAAGACAACTTATTGACTCTTATATTATATGTTATTTATTTACTTATGGGCTATTATTAATTGCTATATTTACTTGTTCAATCCCTATTTTACTTGTGTATTGCCAAATTTTCACTTGATTTCATTTCATAAAAATAAACAAGTGAAGTAGAGCAATTAACAACAACATTTGATAAATAAATGAATAAATAAAGTAAGATAATTAATAAGTGAAGTAAGAAATTCTTGATATTTCTTAAAAATTTAAGATCAAATTAATATTCTAAACTACAATAAAATTTTAAAAATTTAAGAGTTTTGAATGTAATTAAATATGATTAAGGATCCTTTATTAAAATTCTTTCAAGAAAGAATGCATACATTTTCTTTTTTCTTGCTTTTCTTTTGTTATTTTTTTTTTTTGGTGTGTGTTTCGGTTTGACATTGAAATTAACTACTTATAGGACCTCCTACTCCTACACACACACACCCCCCCTAGTACCCCACGAAATGTCTATATTAGCAACTATTTGTAATTTATAATATTATATTGTAGCGCTGTATAATAATACTAGGGATGCCTTCGGCCGAGGCCTGAGCTCATCGATGTGTGTGTGTGTGTGACACACTGGTCTCACGATTAGTCAGCGAGATTCTCTAAGATGAAATGAGTTTAATACTATTCCTAATCATCATATAAATCACTTTTCAAAAACACTTCTTGATTTAAATATAAGAAATTAAATAATTTTTACTTTTTTTTAATCCTTACCCTTAAATGTTTTATATTTAAAGATTATTTTCAATTGTTCCATATTTAAAGACAATACACATGTTATAAAAAATAAAATAAAATATATGAATAAAAAGATGTATATATTTTTTTAAAAATAAATATAATTTTTGATCCCTGTACTTTATTCGCGTTTTATTATAAATTTTTAAAACAATAAAAAAAATATGAGGATCTAAAACATCGAATAAGAATATAAGTATTAATAGTAAAATGCGAGCAAAATATATAAATTAAAGATTATGTTTTTTTAAAAAAATAAGGCCTTAATTAATATTTTTAGTAAATCATGAATTAGTTAATAATAATAAATATTGTGGCTCAAAAGGAGTAATGTATATGAACAAATTAATTTAATTTAGAATTTCATCAATTCCTAGTCATTGAGGCTCTTCGATCCATAACAGAAACA